CAATAAATAACATGGTGAACTCAATAAATAACATAGTGAACTCAATACATAACATGGTGAACTCAATAAATAACATGGTGAACTGAATAAATAACATAGTGAACTGAATAAATAACATGGTGAACTCAATAAATAACATGGTGAACTCAATAAATAACATAGTGAACTCAATACATAACATGGTGAACTCAATAAATAACATGGTGAACTGAATAAATAACATAGTGAACTGAATAAATAACATGGTGAACTCAATAAATAACATGGTGAACTCAATAAATAACATAGTGAACTCAATAAATAGCATGGTGAACTCAATAAATAGCATAGTTACCTCAATGAAACGTAAAGTTAACTCAATTTTTTTTAAAACATAGCTAACTCAGTAAATAACATAGCCAAATGTTTATTGTTTGGATATGAAATAGAAGACAGTCCCCTTTAAGTTTTCGTCGTGTGTTCACTCGGTGTTATTTCAGACTTTGTCCAGTCGACAAAACGGCCTTTGTAGCTTTGTTCCCAACGTACTTCCATTGTGTGCATCGTCACAACGGGACTGATTAGATCTTGTCTGGCCAATGAGTTCTCTGTATTTACGTATTTGTGTATTTATGTATTTATGTATATTTGTACTCATGTGTTTATGTATTTACACACTCTTGTAATTTTGTATCTATGTATTTATGTATTAACATACTTATGTAATTTTGTATTCATTTACTTATATGTATTAACATACTTATGTAATTTTGTATCTATGTATTTATGTATTTTCATACTCCTGTAATTGTGTATTCATTTGCTTATATGTATTTATGACAATTTTCAGATTATCATGAAAAACCTGCAGAAAGAGAAAGAAACGTTGGAGGAGTCGATCAAAGAGACGGGGAAGTCTCTCGCTGACATGGAGCAGCAGTTGCGCGAAGCGGCGGACCGAGAGAGGATGATCATCGAGTACCCGGACCTCAACGGTCCTGTCAACTCCGACCTACAAGGTCAGCTTTTCATTGGTGGTCCGACGGTGCAGAAATCACGGTGTGGGTGGTTGGTGGGTGCCTCGGTGTGGTTTGCTTCTTCTTTCCTATCAAACATCTATCGTCTTTACCTCCCCTCCTTTTACTCCTCCTTTTTTTATGTATGTTACTCTCTTGTAACACCTCAGATCTTCGGCACTTACATGTTGTTGTTTTCAAATCCCTTTAGCTGCGAGCATTTCACTCTTGGCAGCGCAATGCCTCCCTCAAGTAACCACATGTCCTTGTCATCTGGGTGTGTCCATGTACCCGAAGAGAGATCTTCCTGTTTCTGCGTTGGCCCATCTGTTTAGCCACTCGTCTCTGCTTTTGGCTTGGATGATCCCTCTGCAGGTCTGTAAAGAGGCGGTTGTTT